CGAGATTGCAGTAACTCTTTCCCTCTCCAGCCTTGTCTCCCACTTCTTTGGCAATTTTTAGATGACGTTCATGATACTGGATGGCTCTTTCGAAATCTCCTAGGCTATGATAAGCATTGCCGAGATTGCAGTAACTCTTTCCCTCTCCAGCCTTGTCTCCCACTTCTTTGGCAATTTTTAGATCACGTTCATGATACTGGATGGCTCTTTCGAAATCTCCTAGGCTATCATAAGCATTGCCGAGATTGCAGTAACTCTTTCCCTCTCCAGCCTTGTCTCCCACTTCTTTGGCAATTTTTAGATGACGTTCATGATACTGGATGGCTCTTTCGAAATCTCCTAGGCTATCATAAGCATTGCCGAGATTGCCGTAACTCTTTCCCTCTCCAGCCTTGTCTCCCACTTCTTTGGCAATTTTTAGATCACGTTCATGATACTGGATGGCTCTTTCGAAATCTCCTAGGCTATGATAAGCATTGCCGAGATTGCAGTAACTCTTTCCCTCTCCAGCCTTGTCTCCCACTTCTTTGGCAATTTTTAGATCACGTTCATGATACTGGATGGCTCTTTCGAAATCTCCTAGGCTATGATAAGCATTGCCGAGATTGCAGTAACTCTTTCCCTCTCCAGCCTTGTCTCCCACTTCTTTGGCAATTTTTAGATGACGTTCATGACGTTCATGATTGATGGCTCTTTCTCCTAGGCTAAATCTCAATTTTTAGATGACGTTCGAGGATGGCTCTTTCGAAATCTCCAGCCTATGATAAGCATTACTGGATGGCCGAGATTGCATTGCCGAGATTGCAGTGACTGATTCCCTCTCCAGTTTTGTCCCCCACTTCAATGGAAAAATGCAAATTGTTCGCATAGTGGAGGATCTTTTGGACAGCCGTTTGAGGTAGCTGATCGTTGATTTGTATATCCTAAGGTTTAAAGTTAGAAATATTGAAATTGTTTGACTACCTTTTATCCCCTTGGCTTACCTATCCTTAATTACGTTTCTCGATGGCTTATCATATGGGCCAGACTTGCTTATGGTGCTACTCAATTTATGCAACAAAGCCAGCTGGATATGGACTGAGAAGGTTACCCTTATAGTGCACTTAACTACTATATATATATATATATATATATATATATATACGGAAAAATTGAGCTGGTCTGTCTTCCATGGAAGCGTCCCTTTCCGCGTTACCTCTTGGTTTTCGATTAATTTTAAAGTCGTAAACTTTCTCTTACCTCGATTTTCTCTTTGGTATCGTCACGGTTAGTGTTAATTTCCTGATTAATTCTCGTTTCATCTGTGCCATCAGTTGGTTGATTATCACACTCGGTCCACAAATCAAGTAACTTCTTATTGTTGTTGTTAATCTTAAAAGGCTCGAGTCAAAGAATTTGCCTTCTAAAGAGTTTTAGGTCAGTTCTATTTACACTACAATTTCAAACTCAACACAGTTCATGCCAGCATTCAATCCAGTGTAATGAAAATTGGCCACAATAGCTGAAAGTAATACAAATACAGTTATTACCACCTCTACTGCTTCTATTACCGGTAATGGTGAGGGTGGTAGAAGCAGAAGTACTACCAGTGCAAGAAGCACAGCCAGCATTATTGTGCAAAATTGTGCACTTAATTCTCATGATCTAGATTAGTTGTGTTAACGAATATATAAGCTTACATGTAAATGTGCACCTGACTCCGCACACTTGCGGTGACTGGAGCTGGCAATGACACTGCCAATGGCGCAGGCAGACGGTTTTAACTCCAGTGATAGGACATGAGAGAAAAGGAATTATAGAACTTTGTTTTTAGGCATGAGGTTTGATAGGAATTTGGAGTTGTTTGGCACCTACTGAGCATTATGGTAAGAGCTGATATAGTTAAGGGCATCACTCAGGTGAACGTTTGAACCCAGTACTGTTTAAGATGATTTCTGGTGTTGTTGGCCGTCTAATATACATGACAAGTCGCCCGGTTTCTTGAATTCGTATATTTATCAGAGTCAACAAGATATGGGAACCGCCTACTTTTCGCTATTTTACATGAGTAATTAAATGAAAGAAATCTCCAAAGCAGAATTGGCTTTTTCTACATTGGTCAAAGGATACTGCCAATCCTTTCTGACACCAGGTAATGGCTTCTTGATACAAGTGTTGTTGTACACATGCACTGGCCCCTTAAAGAAATTGAAAAAAATTGATATCAAGAAAGATCATTTTTCGCATTGCGGATAATAAAGGACCTCAACTTGTACTTCTATTTCAATCTTACAAATCTTAACTTTAGTGATGTCTCGCAATGTACACAGTCAAAGTAAATTACCAGACTCGAGACCGAGTGTGAAATGGAGACTGGTTAAGAAATTGAGAGGTATACATGGGTGCGCGTAGATATGGAATTTCTCTTCGAGTGATCAACACGATAGCTTACGAGTGAGAACAGGGGAAGAGGAGGATATCGGGTTGAACACTCGAAGAGAAGTTCCATTTCTTTAAGCAGCCATGTATTATTCTGTATGTTATATAAAAATAATACTAATTTATGACAATAAAAGTCGGCTTTATTAATAAATGAAAAAGGATCCTCGACCCTCGAAAAAAAAGTTGTAAAGTGCGTGGGCGATAAGGCTCATCGTAATTTTACACGTGTGCTGGTAAGACATTTCTCAGGCCTGGTAATCATTGTAAAACATCACAGTTTATATAATATACGTAATGATATAGCAGCTTTTTCATTAACTATCAAAACTTACAACTTAATCCAAAACCCTATAAGAGTAGGCGGATTACTTTTCAAAATGAGAAATTTGGAATTTTCATTGTGCTTTTGCAAGAAGATCTGTCAAATGCAAAGTCGAAATTAAGACAATAAATTAGGTTGTGAAATGATTTAAGGAGATCAGACAATGCGGAACCCCAGCACAAGCTTTTTTCCTGAATGATCAACTGGTCAGATGAGTCCAATCTTTCGGTCATCCTCGGAGACATTTTCTGCATGTCTCAGGAATTGCAGAGAACTTACCGATTTCTATTGCTTCAATGAAAGTTGGTGCCAATTGAGCAGACACTGTAGCGTCATCCAAAGCTTCTTCCCAATTTCCTGACAAAATAATTTGGTGTGAGTACGGAAGGACAAATTCTCAACTTTCAGAATTAGAGTCTACTTTAAACGTTTCAGTTACTGATGTCTTCTGAGTGCTGGGTAAGTTGCCAAATTAGCAAAAAAGTCTTGCGAGAGCATCTGAATTTCGGTCTGTCTGATTTTCATATATCTGATTGGCTAATTTGAGGTTCACAATTTTTAGTGTCAGGTTTTATCCCATCTTTCAAATAGCCAGCGGACGAATAGAGAATCGGCCAGAACGAGTGATGTTGGTGACGGGGCCATGCATTGAGCCTGTCCCAGTCATGCCAGCGCTACCTTCCCATATTACCTTGAGGTTGCTGCAAGCACGGCGAAAGTTTTCATTCACGCACACCATTCGAACTGTAGATGATTGTAATCAATCTCTATCAAAATGAATACAAAACTGGAATGATTGATTAATTCTTACCCAGAAGGAGCTGAGCCGCTGCTCTGTTGCTATAGAGTATGGCGTTTAGTTTGACATCTTTGCAGTTCACTTGCAGTCCCTCCGAGTAAAAGTGTACTGCATTGTTGGTTTCTCCTTTGCTGTACTCGTTGTCACCTTCTTTCAAGTACACCTCCGCCATCGCTAACAGAAAGAAGAAAACATGCATGATATAGAATATAACTCAATAGGGATGCACAAAATAGCAGCCAGACATATACAGATGCGTAAAATATCCAGGAGAGTAGCAGTTTGAAACGGCTGTCAAACGTTAAAATCATTTTGTTGACTTGCAAAATTTGTCTGCATTTTTCCTGTTCCATGATCACTAAGCGGTACAGGTCCCTTTGTGTGCCTCTCTTAAAAGGATTGCGTAACCCTAATTGACTGGATGACCATACCTTATTGAATAGGTTGTGTTTATTTTAATTGTTATTATTACCTTTTAAGGTTGCATCATCAAATTGCGATGTACCATCTGACGGTAAAACGGCCGGAACGTCTATAACGAGAGAAAAATAATCAGACAAGTATATAGGGGACAAGGATCTTTCTGATCTCTCTGTTGGCCTCCAAGCATTGTGGCTTGATAGTTCAGCCACTGAACAGTTTCAAACCTAAATTGTATACCAGCTTAAGTAAAGTAAAGAATCAAATACGTTGGATTATTTAGCAAACATAGACAAACACTGATAAGTTCATTCAAAACAACGTGAATCGAAGTATTTGGAAAAATAGTCAAACTCCATCTCCAGTGCTTGATATATGTTACCCATCGAAACTAAAATTAAGATGTAGAAGCGGCGAAATAAGGTTTTAAAAAAGTACGCCGTGTAAAGAAGATTCCTGCCATACATAAGATATGATACATAAGATACACGCCACGGTACCGGCATGCCTTGTGATTAAACAATTAAACACTGATTAATGAGTTTAACGGAGAGATATATGTTGATCTTATCCACAAAATCAGCAAAAACGTCAGGTGCTGGACTCCATCGAGGCGGGGGTGAGAGGAAGAACGATAGAGACCTTAAGATGGACAACGGAAAAGTAGATGAAGAGGAACTGATTTACCTGAAGAGAGGTTCTGAGGACAAAGCGAAGAAAAGATCGTACTGGTGGTCCTTTTTCATAAGGTTAGATACCCGAAGGCACGAAAAGGACAACAATTTTTCTGAGTTTTTTTTGTTTTATTTTTATGTTCCTTACGAGATCACATTTAATATTCCACACAGTCTGAGAAATACGCTATCCTAAAGGTTGGGTTAGGTCAAGCAGTTGATAACTTCATATTCCCATATTTTTTTCTCAGTATTAGAGTTTTGGCGTGGATATTCCTTTCAATTCATTTTTTCACACCACAAATTCATGTTGTGACTATGACCTGCATGTAAGACTACTTTACTCACCTGCCTGAATATCATCAGCTAAATTCACTTTTAAGTCACCAGATCTGACTTGACGTTCCTCTGCAGCTGGAAAACACAACATCACGTTCATGGTGAAACCATTACCCTTAAAAAACAAGACCTTTCACAAGTGGTTTTACTTTTATTTTTCATCATGCTTGAGCGAAACTGTAAAATAATGTGTTTTGCTAATCACCCTGGAAATGATAATCATGTGACATTTTCCATAACAGAAAGTTAGTTGTAATTAAGCTGTTTTTTCTTACCGTCTGTAGATTTCCCATCATCAACGCTGACCTTACCACCTTCCGCCATCACTGCAAAAGAACCAAATATTCTAAAACTTCATGATATCAATTTTGAGATCAATCTCACCGGCTTTGGTTGTATTAAGCTGAAATCGAAAAGGAAGGGCTTTCAACATTTATACCTGCTTAGATTTGCAGAGCATACCTCAGTCTACAACCAAGCCTTAGCCATGTATAATTCCTAACTAATTTAAGTATTAGCCCTTTTAGCCCAATAATCAACATAACCATTCCTTCGTTCACCCGTCATTAGTTGATTTTTCGTAATAACTTTTCTGATAATGATATAAATGGGCGAAAACAATCAAGACAGTTGAGTATTCCACAATTGTTTCTTGAAGAAAGTTCAAGGCTTTGACGGAAAATGAAATTCCCAGATAGTAGGAAATCGAGGGCTTCATTCGGAGAATTAGAGCTATTATAGCAGGATTGGTAACATTGATTTTGAGCCACAACCAACCTGTGTTATTCAGTGTAAACAGAGCGACCTTGGCGCACAAGCGTTAGATAAGTCACATGACCTGTCAACCTAAAGGAAAAAACACGCTATTTCAGCCCTTAACAGCAAAATCAATCAGCCACAATCAGACCAAAGGTTGACAAATATGATTGTAAGAGCACAAGATTCAATATTTTTGAGACAGCAAAACATTGTAAAGGGGTCAGCAACAGTTTAAAGAGCTGACGATATCAGTCACAGTGTTCGAAATGAGGACAGTTTGAGGAAAGTGCCTGTTTATAACCCAGGGAAGAGTTTTTACGGTTCCCCTGGATAACGGCTACGCTATGCGTGCGTGTGCACCTATTGGTACCGAGAGTCTGTAAAGGTAACTTCGGTTACAGATTTAAGCTCTGAACTGGGCAAGGCAGATAACCTTTCAACCGGAAAAGGGAAAAGATCACAAGATTCGCTTTCTGACAAAGCCTTAATAGAACCTACCCCTTTATTCAAGGCTTAATGTAAGTCAACAGCCAATTCACTTAATTTGACACCATCTCCCATAGCCCGGATATAATTATAGTGCAAAAGAATACATAATGCAAAAAACAGCTGACAAAACCTTGTGCCAACTTAACACATGTTACTGGAATCACTTAAAGGTAAATGCGTAGACAGCTGTATTTTAACAACGTTTAGAGATCATCTGAGTTCGAATGTAATAAACACCTCTGCTACTGTCGGAGACCTTGTGTTTCGGGCGTGACACATATCAGATAATAAGTGTAAACATTATATCAAGAGAGACAATTTTTAAGTTAAAGAGACTGTCATTTGTTATCAAGAGCTAGAAGCACCGCCTTTTGTGATTTTGGCACATTGAAAGGTTTGCATAATCGACGCAACCTTGAATAACCTTTTATATCAGTACTTAGCAACAACCAATCACAATGTAGAGAATGTAGTAAAGAGAGTGATTTCGTTACAAGTTTCTCAGAGTAGCTCTTTACATACCCGTTGTAACTGAGTGAATAGGAGAGTGGAATTAAACAGTTGAGCTTAATCGAGTCTATGGATTGATTCTAGTTCGTTAGGATTCTATCCCTAGTAAACGGGGCAAAGTTTACGAAACTACAACCAGATTCTCGCCTTTTATTGAACCATGTAGTAATCAAAACTGTTCCTATAACAGCCTAACAGAAGGGAATACGATTTGTCCACGATGGAACTTCCCTTAAAAAGATTCAGTTTCAATCACTACTATAGTGAACCTTCTCAAACGCGACGGAAGTTTTTTAAACATCTCAAGCGTAACAGGGAAATTTCCCCGAAAGTGGGGAAAAGGGGGTTTCCCTCCATTAGAAACTGAAACCGGAACTCATGACGTCACCCATTCCTTCACAAAACTCGAACATTCAGATCTTTTTCTGAACATAAATGTAAAATGTAGACGCAGTTTTTAGTTTTGTCCCATGGAATAGCTTGGAGTTATTTCTGCGATATTAGCAAGGAAAAATTTACAACTTGGTTTCGCTGACAGGCAATCATCGACAGTGTGTCATTACTGGCAGTTTTCTATCAGTTCTACCCAAATCAAGAATCTAATTGTCAGTTTTGGTGAACTGACAATTAGCATTTAGATCTGTTTATTCTTGTGTTAGATCCAAGGTAATCTGTGAAATATCCGCAGACGATTTTTCCAACGATTTACGTAGGTAAAGGTGCAATCAACACGATGTTTGATGTGTTAGGACTGATGACAAGAGATGTAACTACATTTGTAAAGCAAAATGTATCCTGACCGTGATACAGTTATGAATGCGATCAATGTCCCCGACTCTTCACCGAATAATTAATATTCTATGTAAACATACTCTGGTAAAAAAAATTAAAGGCCGCCCCAACATTGCAAGCTGACAGAATTCCGCTATTTTTAGGGGTCTTCATTGAAAAAAGGGTTTTGTCAAACGAGGTAATATTAATTTTAACTTGGCGGACATCTATAACTGCAACTACGTGTATGTCGCTGAGTTTTCAGGAGGGTGAGTTCAACCACATTTACTAGTCCTACTACAGCCAAACTCTTACCGCGGAGTTCCCGAGCTCTTTTTTAGTAACCTACTGGAGGACTCTGGAAATATCTAACGGAAACTATAGACTTGCCTAAAGGTACCTACGTTTGTGTCGCCGAGCCATCAGGACGGCAAAATTATTTAATCACATATATACAACAACCAAAATCTTACCTCCGTGTTTCCAACCTTCTTTTTTAAGTTTTCTTACCAGCCTTAACAAAGAGTCAAAGAGAAAAGCTGATATAATAAACCGACAGCAACAGCTCCGTTTGTAAGACTATGCAAATATACAACTGGAACTCGCTCAGACGCACGAGAGTTTTGACCTCTCAAGTGAGGGGGTTCCCCTATTTTTAGCGGAAATGCTTAGGTCACGTAACCTAATAATTGTTACGGAAATATTCCGCCGAATTGGATGTCCTAGTAAGTTTACTCCCATTTTGCGTCGAATGAAAACATTGTAAAAAATGGTTTAAGTTTTTCTGCATGGGTGGTTTAATTCATGTTTCGTCCACGATTAGTATTTGGCACGTATGATTGACTAATATTGATTGTTACGAAAAGTATTCCCAAACAAATGGGCAAAGTTACGAATAAATTGGATGTCCTTTTAGTAATAAAGTTTAAATGAAAAATCGAGAACAGAGGTGGAATTCTTGACATGATGAATATGTCATGAACAGACACAGCGGAAATCATCAGATAACTACAAAACTATCCATTTGCTGTCTTTTCATGTAAAGCTCAAATAGATCATGAGTTTATAACTTCACCTGGAGTTAACATCTCCAGATCGCGTGAGTTATTCCATCGCGTGAGTTATTCCAAATATCTTCAGCTGACTGACGTTAGACACAGTAAACCGTAGAATATGGACAAACAATCAAACTAACCATTTATGAGGAGGAAATTTGGATGTGGTTTACAGCGTTACGACTGCTGATATGGAATATAACTACATTTAAATAAGAACTTTACTCTGTAAAGTGATAATCTATCGTCTGTACAACCATGGACATGTTAACTCAGTTTTCTTTGCAGTAAATTCATCGACCAGATTTATGCCCGTTTAAATTCAATGTGGCATTGTGGATCTGAGTAAACCTAACGAAGCCAATTTCACATCTCCGCCGTCTGCGAATTTTGACGAATTTTTGAGAAAATATTCTGAGTCAGGAGCTCCTGTCTGAGTAAAATTACACTGCTAAAGAAAGTTAAAAGCCGCGCTAATATTGTAAGCTGACAAAATTCACCTGCTTTTGAGTTCATTCAAAGAAGGATTTTGCTAAACAAGAAAATGTATGTACATTAGCGAACATCTGTAATTGTATCTACGTTTGTGTCGCTGAGTTATCGGGAGGGCGAGATTATTCTCATATACCACAACTAAAATCTCACCTTGGCGTTTCCGACTTCTATCTAGTTTTCTTCTCTAGCCTTTATCGGCAGCATGAATTTGGAAATATCCCACGGCAGCTATCGAAATAAACTAGCCCAAACAGAGGGGCGTTTTAACCTTTTAAAAAAACGTCAAAAGGGAAATTTCCCAATATTTTTAGGGGGCTCCCCTACTTAGCTTTTAGAAACTGAAAGCGGAAATCTTCGTCACGAAAGCGTAACGCTATTTTATAATATATTCAAATAGTACGCGCGCTCTGATTGGCCATAAAACCATTTTACATGAGCGTATGTAAACACAGTTTTCGTTCCTCTTTCATTAGTTATTTTATAAAAGAAATGTAAAATGGTTTCCGTGTTTACATAGCCTGATGTAAACAATTGGGAGGTTGGGAGAACCTGATGTAAAACCACTCCGCTTCGCGTCGTGGTTTCCTACGCTTATCTCGTGTTCTCCCAACCTCCCGCGTGTTTACATCAGGCTATGTAAACACGGAAACCATTCTACATTTCTTCAATTGAGCTCACTCCATTTTGCCCGCAAATGTACATTGTGAAAAGATGTTTTAATTTTACTGTATGGTTTGCTTTATTGATATAAGGTATACACGTAACTAAAAATAAATACAAATTGACTGATTGTTGGAGTTTCAAAAATGAAGTCGAACGCTTAAAATTGAAATCAGGACTAGCGCGGAAATCTTAACGTCAATTTTATGCATTGTTGTAGTAAGGGGGGGAGGTCAGGGGTAGAGGTCGGGAGAAATCCCGGATAAAATTTTGGGAGGGGGAGAAACGGAGGGGGGATCCGTCGTCGATAACAGAGTATAGTTACATTGAAATATGGTACACATTTGAGAAATTTAAGCTTCAAGCTCGCTGAATTTCTTCCCTTAAACTATACTCAAAATTTATGAATAGGAGAAAGGTGAGGTACATAATCTATTGTTACAGACCTTAACTCCCTGAACACATCATAGCCTGGATAAGCATTTTGTCTTTCCAATTAAAAATTACATAGAGAGGGATTTCTATCATGCATAAAAATGGAGAGCAAATAATCTGATTGTTTAAGTTCATCTACTGTTCAATCAAGATACAAACAAGAAGGGCTCATGTTTGTGTCAGTTATTTTGTTTATCACAGAATAGATACTGTAGCAAGTAGCATAACTAGTCAGATTACAGCTGCATTTATGGTAGAATACTGATTCTGCTTACATCCTGTACCTATTTGGCTAATATGCAGTTGAAACTCTTTATTTATCTGTGAATGTCTATTTATGCTGGGTACTCTGTGGAGTCTTCTTACAGCTGGCTGTAACTTAGCAACAAGCATTTCTCCCATGTTAACAGCATTTCTTACTTCAAACTTTGGTTGGTCAGCAGCATTCATTACTCCTGGAGTCAGTACTGCCACAATGTCTGTTTTAGCTTACTACCTTATTTGTGATTCTCTATCAGAAATAGGACTGGAGGAATTTACCCAAAGAACTACCATGAAATCAAGAACTGAAAACAAAACAGTAGAGAACAAGAAGGACTACATTATTACAATGCTTCACAGTCCATTTTTGTGGGTTTTAAGTGCAGGATATCTACTGACTTTGTTTGTGAAGATTGGAGTTGGTGAATGGACACAACTTTTTCTAATACAGACAATTGGAAGAACACAATATGACAGTGAGTATTAATTGTTCTACATGTTTTGGATTGAATCACCAATTTTTTAAATAACTCTTTAACCTCTAAGAATGACTAATTTCTCCTTATAGTATCATCCATGAATCAAATGAAAAGGTCATAAGAATAATGGAAATGATCTCCAATTTGGGAAGCTCTTGATTGTCAACCAAATTCTCCTTGTCATTACCAGATTAAATGTAAAGAGAACAGTGAGAGGAATTTGAATGTTAACAATAAGGGTTAATAATGTGGGCAAAATCGCGAGAAATTCATGAAATTTTTTTGCAATAAATCAGCACATTTATGATAGTGATGTGACATTTACATATTATTTTAAACTGAGTAAGAACTCAAAGAGATGAAAGAAAGCCAAAAAAGGTATACTAAACAATATGTTTCTATATATTATGATATAAATTTATATTATAATTAGTATATCATACAGTGTTCTTGCTTATTTTGGGTCATGACAGGTGACCTAGGAATTCCTAGGAATTCTCAGCTATACAAACTACCTATAATTTAAGAAGGGTGGAATTCTTGGGAATTTCTGGGAATTGAATTTGAGGCAATTTAAATACCCTGAGGTCCACATAAATTCTAAGAAATTCTCAATACCTTGAATGTGAAGGTTTTAAGAAAAGGAGTAATTTCAGAGGCTTAAAACTTTGGCTCAATAAAAAGGTATGTTATACAAAACTTACCAAGAGATATACATACATGTATATGTTTATAACTTAAAGATCATGAAATTTATTAATCAAACTAAGTTTTAGTAAATCTCTACATTAATATGGATTTTCTCATGAACCAGCAGTCAATTATGTTAAATGGAAATTGCCAATTAATCCAATGTACTCATATCACAGATTTGCTTTCTAACCTCAAAGGACTCTTGGATTCCATGATCATAAAATATTTTTATTGTGATGCAAATTAATGTCTCATGTTCACTGATGTGCCAAAATCATCAAACATTCATTAGCTGTTCCTTGGTACACAACTTCCACAATAATTAACAATAATTACATTGTTATCTACACTTAAAGAACTTTGTTAGTTATGAACATAAGTTACTTCCCTAACCTACATTACTGGTTGCCTTTGTTAGAAAACCTTGGAACAGTCAAGCTCAGTTGCCTCAAACACTGTCAGAGACTTCATTATTTTTAGTAGAAATTTCATGCCTTAGACAAACAAATTCAACACCTAACTTTTTTTCTTTTTTCATGATTGTTGTTGCTGGTTTTTTTTTCAGTTTTGTGCTCTGTTTTTGTGACTAATTGCTGTAATTTGTTTTGCTGTTTTTATTCTTGCAAAACATTTTTGTAAGAGTTCCAATACTTGTGGATCATCCACACACTTTGCAAACATTTGGCATGCAGACAAGACAGAGGTAGTCAATGTTCCCTTTGAGAAAAAACACCTTTTAAATGACGTCTTCAATTTACTTTATTTGAAACTCTGATCTGAAAATATTTGTCAACAAGACTTGTTAGTAGTGAGAAGTACAAACCAAGTTTCCCTTCATAACTTAATTTCTTAAATGTCTCAATCACTGGATCTCCCAAAAAAGATTACATCTTTTTATTTTTGGTGCAAAATACAAGTCCTTCTTTATATACAAATGAAAAGTGCAAGTCACACTTCAATAATAACAGCTCTAAAGTTTACTTGTTGTTCTTCTCTGTCTGTCAGCTATCAACAAAATCGTTTTATACTTCGGACAGTGCATAACTATTTGTGGACTAGAGTTCCAACGCACCTCTGTAATCGCATATAGTTACTTCTGTCTCTTGAACAAATGTTTCTCCTTTGTAAGACGCACTCTACTCTGTTGTCACCACTGCTTTAAGTTCAGTGGAAACGACTGACTGAAGGAATCGAGATGGCGGTGTTGGAACGTGTTGCTGAACGCTTGCTACGGTCAAGCTTTGTAGATTTAGGTACTGGTACACTGGGATCATCTATGTATCTCTTATACTTCCTAATGTGATATCCTTCTTTTATAAATATGAGGGTAAAAGACGATTTGTAGTCGCATTCAAAACTGTGATTGGCTTGTGTTATTTCTCACCTTTGCCATGAACACAACTCAAGTGAGTTTCGAGTCTTTGTTTCCTCGACAACTTTCGGCCACAAATCGTGCATTTGTAGTACGATCGATTCTTGTCGATTATTTCTACATAGAGTGAGCTC